GATGGACGACATAAACGAATACAAAATGAATTGTTAAATTTGACACAATATGAAGATATAATTAAAACAATCATTGAACAACTGACAAATTTTATTCAAGAACATAACAAAACTTCTATAACATTGGCTATTGGATGTGAACAAGGACGACATCGATCAGTAGCTACAGTTGAACGACTTGCTGATTTATTAGGAACTACTTATAATGTAGAAGTTAGTCATCGAGATTTACAAAGAACAGGATATGATAAAAAGAAACAAAAAGAAAGAGCAAAAAATAGAGACAGAAAATATCATAATTATGATGAAAATACCTAACATATTATTGTTTTGTCAATGAAGAACTATCATCTGATTTACTAACTTCAAATTTATCGTTTTTTCTTTGTGGTACAATGTTTTACTTTTGTTCGTTTTTGAACTGTTATTCGCTTAAAGTTTTCGTTTTCAACGACTATTTCAATGAACATACGATTTTATCATGTTTAACATTCATGTGATTGTTGAAGCTTTTGTATAACGAAGATTTAAAGATATATAAACTATTGGATTTCATCGGAATCGTGTCGCTCAATATTTTATGCTATCCATAACGATTTATGGCAATAAAATAAACCAAATGGTCAAAAACACTGATTTTTTGAAATATTATTATTTCTATGTAACAATAAAGACAGCATTTCGTTTTACAGAAATCAAAGAACAATCAGTAACAAAAACAGTTGTATAATTTTCATTTGTATCTATTCATTCGTTTTATGTGCATTAAGTCTCGTACGTCGTGTACGACTGACAACAGAAAACATTTACTTTTCCATCGATTAAATATCGACAATCAACATTCATTGTTCAATAGTTCTTTTTTGCATGAGTTTAATACAGTTGTAAAGATAAAAATTTAATAGTCTTATTGTAATACTTATATTGCCCAAGTCGAACAATCCTAAAGTTAGATTTCATCGGATCTGATAGGATATCCAAGGCAATCCAACAATTTCCAACAGTAAAATCCGACAGTTAGAATATGTCGCATACACCTAGAATTCAATAAGAGCTCATGGGGTGATTTTGCATTTACATTTGGACATTCACATTGTTTGACTCTCCTCCTATTGTCTTCTTCTCGTATAATTAGCTAACAATTAATAGTTCAAATGAACTTTATTTTCCTTAGTATTACACTCAATTATTCAATAATAAATTTAAAATAAAGAAAAAAAAATATAGGCTCAATCGTTTAAAATCATTTTTGATTGACTTCATGTCATTACATAGTCTGAAATGAAAAATAAAATAGAAAAAATAAAATACTGGCCATTCAGCTGAATAGCTGCCTTTGTCACCGTAAACAATTGTTTAGGAGCATGTATGATGTACTTGGATTAATGGAAAGCGGCTTTACGTCGTCATAAAAAAAACGTTGAAAATATATTTTGCATATTGTCTAATAATCACAAAAAGCAGGATTAGATATTTTAATGCCATCAGACTTCATGGGATCTGACAAGTTCCGACGGGTGACTTCGATTAAGATATACATAAAAGAAAATTCAGATATTTTAAATGTTCTCTTCGTTATAAGTAACATATTGATGATATCTCAAAGAAAATATTCTATTTTTTAATTCTCTTTATTTCACCCCTTGCATTATGTTCTGCTGAATCGATGAATTTGTGAGTCTGTTGCAAAACAAAAATACATCCATCAATCGATGTGAATTAGTTCTTATTTCGGTAGTGAATATAGAATGATGCAGATGATTTATATGCGCTTGATAAAGTTTGATTGTATCGAACTAACGTTTTTCTCGTCATTGTATCTCTCACTTCAAGTTTACTTGATGAATAGACTTACAAATTCATTAGAAACAGTTTTAGTTCCTTGATATTATCTTCATGGTTACTTTCATTTGGAAAAAAATTGATCATGATAGTTATATATGACTCCAGATGAATTTTATGTGTTCAGAACTTTGCAAGAAAATATATAATAAACTGTGTAGTATCTAAAATCCTCGATATCTTAGAAGATTCAAGGTCTTATTTTCTGTCTTTCAAGAAGGTCATATTTTTCAAACAAGTCCCACCAAATGATCCGTAATTTGAACTCATGTTTGCTCAATGCATCATTAGTAAAGGAATTTATTTCATTTATTCAATACTCTTACAATGAAAAAGAAACAGATAATGTTCTGTGAAAAATAAAGGAAAAGAGTCGTTGGTAAGATGAATATTCTTAAAAAGATAAAGCCAACAACTCCAAACATCTCAGCACAATGTACAATAGTACTATTTCTTTCAAAGTATTAGATCTATCATGAAGTTTTACTAGTCTAGATGGAATTCGTTAATAGCGAAATGTACGACTAGTATAATCATTCGATCCAATATAACTTGTTTGAATTCAGTTATCTACAAAGAAACTATTTCTAGAAAAGCATCAATTGAATACATATTCAGAGTGTTTTTGTGTCTGTTTCGAAAAATAACTTTGTATCTTTTTGCAAAAAGTAATACATGCTGAAGTTTAGAATAAGTCCTTCATAAAAGACATTTCAACGTGTGTACCCAAAAGTATATTTTCTTCAATTATGAATGAGCTCTTTTACGGTAAATAAATGTGTCTCAATTTTTAGAAGAAAGTGCTAAGCCGACAAGACCCTTTTATTCATAGACAACGTGATAGTACTGAATATATTCCTATTTTAGAAAGATGTTTTCATGCGGAAACAAATGCGAGTGCACTCGCTGTTAATTCAGTCCTGTGATCTTGGAAACATTGTTTTGTTGAGAAGGCCTAAAGACTTTTTTCAAAGTACACTGTAAAAGAACTCTGAAATAACACATTACTATTTATTTTTCAATAAACTGTTGTTTCTTATCAGCTGTTTCTTATGATTGTTCTAATTCGGAACTGTCATATAGCCAAAACAACGAAAGCAAAATGTTGTCCATGTTGAACTTAGATAGTAATTTGAAGATAAATATAAAAAGTGATTTCATATATAAGAGCGATTCAATCACAAAAGTAACTCGAAATAAAAAACTAGATTTTTAGGTTTATAAAGAGAAAATCGATTTTGCATATACTACATTTGACTGATAAACCTCAGTTTTTATGTACAATATTATTAGTTTTTCAACAGAAATTTAGTCAAATAATTGATCGCTGCACCGTTGTAACAATATTCGTTTTTGTTGTTTGATACTATCTTTAAAACTCTTTTTTAATCTCGAATGATACTTGAATACAATGATTAAAACTTTTTTTAGAATCATATATTTATATCGAATTAATGAATTTCTATGAATGATATGCGATCATAAACGATAATATAGTGGTTGCCAGAGGCTTTATGCTTTAAGTTTGAATATTTTAAACAAAAAGCTTGAAATTGTAAACGCTCCGGTTTTTTATCCTTCACATTATTGTGTCTTGTTCATGTTTGGAATAAAACGTATATTACATATATACGGTGAGCACCAAAATTATTCAACAAGGACTAGTTTGAATAATTTTCTGCTATCGTATGCGTTAGAGAGAAACTAAAGAATGATTCGAAAAGAGAAAATGTTTTCCAACAAGAAGATAACAAAATAATTATTATTATCAGAGATTGAAGACCCAAAGATGGTTTTTCTATAGGAAATTGGGAAAAAAACGACTTTTGATGCCTCCATACAATTGCTGTATTTCAGCCAAGAGACGTCGCAAAGAACTTGAAGATGTCTCATTTTGTGAAGAATTGTTTACTCTATCATTCTATACCGTTAAAAGAAAATTATATTTACTCGTTCTAGATACTGAACAATTAGGACTTTGGTTTTCTAGAGTTTTTGTTTTTGGGAACCTAATTATAACTTTTATACTCATATATAACTTTTGAGAACACTGTTCTCTATTCAAATCACTATTTCAATTCTTTTTTGTGCTTATGGTAGCAAAAAAATTGAAAAGAAACCTTGTTGAATAATTTCAGTATTCAAGGTATATGTTTATCAAGACAACATAGAAATTAATATAATTATTTACAATAAGTTATATATGATGTATTTTCACTGCAAAAAAAACTAATGTCACATTATTTAAATAATTTTATTTTATTTAACCATAATTTTATGTTTAGATTCACTCTGTAACTCGTAATAATTATTACATGACATCTTCATGTATACAGCATTGATTAATGGATGGAGCCATTCAACAGTTTAATAACAATGGTCATCATTTCTAAAAGAATTCCATGTAAAAAAAGACACATTTATAAGCAATCGTAAATCGCCATATATAGATATGTTACATGACTCAATATTAAGGTAGTGTTTCTCCGTATATTATATGGAGAAGTACGGCTTATGCAGTGAAGTTAAGAATATATGCAAATGTGTTTTTTTTTTGTCCTGGAGTTGTACTTCTCGGTTAATTTTATTGAACTTAGTTAGTAATATGAACATAAATATTACAACAACATCATCAATTTGTAGAGATTATTTTTATAAAAATCAGTTTTCAGGGGGAGCATTCAATAAACTAACTTTTTATTTAATTTATTCAGTGGGTGTGTCAGCAAATGTTTCGAGAGCTTTATTAATAGAAAAGGCTTTACGATAGAAAAGGAAGAAGTACATTTAAAATACAGTCACTGTCATGATATGACAGAAATAGCTTTAAAAAAACATGACAAAATGAGGAACTACATGACGTTTGAGTAAAAAGAAAAACTGAATAAGGCGCATACGTCTTTTTGTTTTTCTCCTTCAAAAGATATGAGTAATACCAAACGAAAAAGAAAAAACGTAACCTCTCAATGACGAAATCTGCTATGAGACATGCTTTTTTGCACCCACACTCATATTGCATATTTTCAATGCTTCCTCAACCGAGAAATAAAAGGAAACTATTAATGACCTCATCATTTTTTTCCTCGCTTGTGTATATATATATAGTTGTATAATTTTGTTGGGACATACCAGAATTGTATTAGATTTTTGTTCGAATAATGACTATGAAAGAAAAAGGTGTGCAATCTCAAGAACCAGTCTTAACAAAAATTGTAATGCTCAATGAATTGAAGCAATCTACTGAGGATAAAACTTCTAAGTTACATGAAGATAATTCTACATTAATTAAAAAACTTCGCACTATAGAAATCGTATGAAAAAAAAAATTTCTTTTGATAGTAATTTTCATTAAATATTTTTTCTAGTACAAATTTGCCGATGGATTAGATATTTTTTTATTAATTATTGGTACAATAGGTTCATTCGCTAGTGGTGCATGTTTTCCATTGTTATTATACGTTTATCAACAAGTAACTGATGCACTTGTTAATTATGGTAAATTACAATATATTGAAAAAATGAATTTTCAAAATCGATCTCAATTATCATGTGAAAATGGAGGGTAAAACTTAGAATAAAATATTTTTTTTGCCTTTCTTCTAAATAATTTTTTACAATTATTAAGATTTGATGTTCCTAATAATGCAACAAGTCCTATTCAAGCTATACAAAATGTTGTGAAATGGTACGTTCTATTGGGATGTTTGAGTATTTTATTTTATACTATTGGTTTTTCGGCCTTTATGGTGTCAGCTGAACGACAAATACGTCGAATAAGGTTTGTTTTCTTGATGTATTTATTTAAAAGATAATCAATTGGAAATCTTTAGATTTCGTTTATTTCGAAATATTCTCTATCAAGAAATGTCCTATTTTGACGTACTTGGTGGTAAAGGTAAATTAACTAATATGCTTACAGATGATTTACTCAAAATTAAAGATGGTATGGGTGATAAAATGGCCGATTTCCTATCTTTATTAGCTCGTATGATTGGTTGTCTTGTTTTTGCACTTGTCAAAGGATGGAAATTAAGTTTAGTTATTGTGGCTGTAGCTCCACTTGTTATTATTGCTTTTAATTTAACAATTAAATTTACTGTTAAATATACAAAAAAGCAAATACATGCTTATGCTAAAGCAAATAATATTGCACAAGAAGTATTATTTGCAATACGTACTGTAACAGCATTTAATGGACAGAAAAAAGAATATGAAAGGTATATTAAAAATAATGTTTATGTATTTCATAATTGATTTTGTTGTTTGTTTTTTCTTTCTAAGATATGCCAATACTTTATCTGAAGTACCATTAATTGGAATGAAAAAAGGAATTATTCAAGGTTTATGTCAAATATTTTCAAATATTGCTACTGGTATTGTATTTACTGCTGCACTTTGGTATGGACAATATTTAATTAAAACAGAATGTCATACTTATTCAGCTGGTATACTTGTTGTTGTAAGTAGAAAGATAATAAAAATCTTTATTCGAATAATTTTTATTTATTTTAGATATTTATTGCTTGTTTAAATACAACATGGAGTCTTAATCAAATAGTTCCTAGTTTAGAAAAATTTGCTGATGCTACAGCTTCTGGTTCATTCATTTTTGAAACAATATCAAGAGTATGTTATGATAAATTGAATATCTGATTAAAACAATTCTTTTATATTTGTTTAAATTAGAAATCCAAAATTGATGCATCAAAAGTAAACGAAGGTGAAAAACCGGCATCACTTACAGGAGAAATCAAACTCGAAAATGTTCGATTCACATATCCAGCTCGTCCGAATCAACCAGTTTGTCTATTTCATTTTTCTATAATAAAATACATAAACAAATAAATATTATTCTAGATTCTTCAAGATATTAATCTCACAATTCCAAGTGGTAAAACAGTCGCTTTAGTTGGACATTCTGGATGTGGAAGTAAATTTCTTAATTTTATTCATATTTTATCTTATCTAATGTATATACATTTAATATATTCTAGAAAGTACTGTACTATCTTTAATAACTCGCATGTATGATCCTGATCAAGGTCAGGTAAGAAAAACAGAAACTAAAATTTATTTTAGATTACTATTTTGTGAAATCTGGTTTAAAAGGAGTATTGAAGTATAGAAGTAAGAATTTGGATCAACCTTATTGTTACACCCTTCATTTTTCTTAAGGAAGGTCATAATTAATTGTTAGTGTTAGTTAAACTCTTCCTAAGTATTGTCGAATATTTTTTTTGTGACATTTCAGTAGTTGATGCAACATTCTTCAGACTTTATTAATAGTAAATAAAATGTACTACAACACACACTTTATTATTATTTTTTTCTTTTTTCTTTTCTGTTGTTATTGTGATTTTGATAGTTGGTCGGCAAAACGGTGATACCTGACAGAAGTAACTTTTTGTTATCATCTTCTTCCGATCAACTATCAAAATCCCAATCACAACAGAAAAGAAAAAAGAGAAGAAAAACGAAAAAAAAAAAAAAGATAAATAATGAAGTGCGTATGTTGCAATAGATGGTATTTCCCATCAATAAAGTTGGAAGAAGGTAGTATCGACTACCGAAACGTCACGAAAAGAATATATTCTACAATAACTAGGAAGAGATTTACTAATACTAATAATTACCACAGACTGTGACTAGAGGTCATCGAATCCAAAGTTTTCGGATTTGTACCCGATGAACTACTTCCTTATTGCATTTCTGTGGGATTGAGTAAAAATGATGGATGAAGAAATGTGTCCTAAAATAGATAGGATAAAACAATCCCTGTGTGATTATAAACACTATCTATATTGTGTTTCCTATTTTAATTTCGATGAGATTGTGCTAACATCTTTTATTTTTTTAGGTGTTATTGGATGGTCGAGATATTCGACAATTAAATATTGAATGGCTTCGTTCACAGATTGGGTATGTTGGACAAGAACCTGTTTTATTTTCCGGTACAATTGAAGATAATATTCGATTGGGTAAACTTAAAGCGACAGAAGTCAGTATTAATAAATGTTTAATTTAAAAAGACAAAAAAAAAAGAAACTATTAAAATTAATTTAGGAAGAAATTCATGAAGCTGCTAAAATGGCAAATGCGCATGAATTTATTCTTGATTTACCTGAAAAATATCAAACATCAGCAAAAGGAATGTTAAGCGGTGGACAAAAACAACGAATTGCTATTGCTCGTGCAATTATATCGAATCCAAAAATTTTACTTTTAGATGAAGCAACTTCAGCATTAGGTAAAATTAAATATCTTTTTTAATATTTATCGATTTATTCAATATATATATATATATAGATAATCGAAGTGAAAAAATTGTACAACAGGCATTAAATAAAGCTAGTAGAGGTCGAACAACAATTAGTATTGCACATCGATTAACAACTATTCAAGATGTTGATCTTATTCTTGTTTTTGATAAAGGATATATTATTGAACAAGGTACACATAGAGAATTACTACAAATTGAAAATGGAATTTATCGTTCATTGACTGCTCATTCATATCAAGATGAAGAAGATGAACAAGATGAAGAAGAAAATGTTCTACGACGAGAAATGTCAAATAAGTCTTCATGTAAAAAATAATTAAAATTAATTATTCTTAATTCAAAAAAATAAATAATATCTTCTTTTTTTTTTAAGTAAAACTACTACAAAAAATATCTTCGCTTGGTATTGAAGAATCATTATCAGATGACGATATAGAAAATATAAAACAGTCTTGTTGTCATACTCCATTCTTCATTAAATTACTTAAATTAAATTCACCTGAAAAATTTTATTTATTTATCGGTTCTATATGTTCACTTGTTTTTGGTGGTATTGAACCAGCAGTTGGTTTAATATATTCAATAATTTATGGTCTCTTAGCTAATCCAAATCTTAACGATCAATCCATACGTACACGAAATTTATCTTTGATTATTTTTGGTATTTATGTATTTGGTGGTATTGTACAATTTCTTAGTACAATTACATTTACTAAATCAGGTGAAGCATTAACATTACGTATGCGTTTGCGTACATTTGAAGCAATGTTAAGACAAGAAATGAGTTGGTTTGATGAAGAAAAAAATAGTATTGGATCATTAGTTACTCGTTTATCAAGTGATGCAGCTGCTCTTAAAGTACAAAATTAAATGTTTTCTTTTTGTTCTCTATTTAACTTGTTTTTTTTTCGTATTCAAAGGGTTTAACGGGTGCTCGATTGAATGGACTTGTTGCATCGTTAGGTGCATTGATATTTGCACTTATTGTTGCATTTATGGCTGGTTGGAAATTAACATTAGTTGTTCTATGTTTTACTCCATTATTAATTTTTTCCGGTTATTTACAAGGACAAACACAATCAAAAGCAGGTCAATCAAAAACAGCAAAATCATTTGCTGAAGAAGGTGGAAGAGTATGTTGTTTTGTTTTTCTTAATATTTTATTTAAGATTTAAATATGTCTATAATTGAAATAGTACGCAGTTGAAGCTATTCAAGATATTCGTACAGTAGCAACATTAAATCAAGAAAAATTTTTTATTCAAAAATATGAAGACGCATTTAAGCAAGATTTTAAGTAAGTTGTTAATAGAAAGAATTATTTTTTTTTTATTAATTATTATTTAATTAATAGAAACCGAATGTGTAAAATTCAAGTTCAAGCATTAGGCAAAGCAATTGCAAATTCATTTTTATATTTTATACATGTTACAACATTTAGTTATGGTGCGAGTCTAGTTGAAACTGGTGAAATGGGTTTTGCAGAAGTTTTTCGTGTATTTATTGTTATTAATTTTGCTTCAATGTCTATTGGTCGAAGTACATCTGTAATGGCTGATTATAATACAGCTAAAGCAGCAGCACGACGTATACTTACATTACATAATCGACAGTCTGAAATTGATCCATATAATGAAAGTGGTTTAAAACTGGTATGTGGTTAGATTTTAAAATCAAATAAGTTTTGTTTTTGTTTTGAAAAATATATTTTTAGGATGATTTTCAAGGAAATATTGAATTTCATAATATTGAATTTTCATATCCAGCACGAAAAAATCGACGTGTCTTACGTAATTTTAATCTTAAATGTTTACAAGGACAAACAACAGCATTAATTGGGCCTTCAGGCTGCGGGTAATATAAATAAATTGTTGATAGATTGTTATATTTATATTGATTTATTTAAAGGAAAAGTACAACTATTTCTCTTTTACTTCGTTTTTATGATTCAATGAAAGGGAAAATTTTGTTGGATCAACATGATATTAAAGCATTAAATATAAATTGGCTTCGTTCAATAATTGGTTTTGTTCAACAAGAACCAATTTTATTTGATCGTACTGTAGCAGAAAATATTGCATATGGTATTCAAGATCGACAAGTATCATTAGAAGAAGTACAAGAAGCAGCTAAACAAGCTAATATTCATGAAGAAATTATTCAATTTCCTCACGTAAGAAATTTCTTTGTCTTTTTTTTTTTTTTTTATTACATAAGAATTTTCAATATCGATAATAATAGGCTTATAAAACTAATTGTGGTAATGCAGGAAATAATCAACTTAGTGGTGGTCAAAAACAAAGAATAGCCATAGCTCGAGCATTATTACGAAAACCTAAAATACTTTTACTTGATGAAGCTACATCTGCACTTGACAATAGATCTGAAGGAGTAAGTTCATTAGAATTTTAATGAATTATTTCATTTCATTTTATTTTATTTTAATTAAGATTGTGCAAGAAGCTATTGATAATGTACGAAAAGGTCGAACATGTTTGACTATTGCTCATCGATTAACAACTATAGAAAATAGTGAAAAGATTGTTGTAGTTGAACGTGGTCGTGTACGTGAAGAAGGTCAACATGAAGATTTATTACGACAAAAAGGTTTATATTATAGACTTCAACGAGCAGCAGAACAATGATATAATGAAACATGATTATTTTTTTCTGTTTTTATTTATTTATTTTTTTTTTATCTTTTTTGAGACCTTTCATATATGTCACATAACCAATAAAAGTAGTTTTTTTTTTATAAATTTTAAATAGAAATAAGTAACGAATATAATTTACTGTAAATAAAATCAAATTTTGAAGAACTGCATATTTGAAAACAATTAGTTATGTATATTGTCTTATGACATTTCATCGAAATCTTTGTAATTGGATTATCGATTTATTTGTGTTATTCGGTAATATCCAGGATAGGCAATAAATAGCACCACGATAATAAAAAAAACAAAATATCTTCGTTTCGGTTTCCTGATATAGGCTGATTTTTTTGTTAGTCAAACAAGTTTATTTAAAGCTTTTTTTCCATATGAATAACGTAAACAAGTACTATTGTCAAGTCATATCGTAGATCTCAATAAAGAAATTTCATCTATTGATAAGAAAAATAAGATACCATACTTGCAAAATTTAAGCAGAAGTTCTGTTTTTCTTTTATTTTTATATGGTTAAATACAGCACAGAGAGCTGATCAAGATGTTGATTTTTTAGTAGGGAAAGTTTTCAGTTTTTTCCGATGGTATGCTTTTTTTGAAAGACCGGTCAATTTTCCATCACCGACAAATTTTCAATTGTTTCTTTTAAATCTTAAAATGAATGAATTTGTTACAACTAATATTTCACGCTGCATCTGAAATAAACAATTATGAAATTTGAAGGAAACGAAAAAATTGAAAACGCTCATATTCGTAATCAGCTCATTCTACTCTATCTAATCATAGACAAAGAAAAGAAAAAACGGAACTTCTACTTTAATTTTTGCATTATTTAGCGTCTTCCATCTGAAGCGTTTCATAGATAATTTTCAGTTGTTATCTGAGAAAATAAGAAGTAGAAAATCAATATTAAAAATGTTTGGAATTTTCCAACATGGAACACTAATTTTTTGCAAGAAAGTTGACGTTCAAAGAACTTCAATAGGGCTTTTTCCTTATGGAGTAAGAGGTGGAACATTTAAATTGGCTAATTGTGAAAATTTGCTCTATGCATATCAATATAATTCATTGGAATTTCTTATTGTTTTCTTAGATAACAACTAAAACTTATCGATGAAACACTCTACATATGTATTTTTCTTACTAGACAATAGATGAAATTTCTTTAATGAGGCCAAAAATATAACTCGACAGTACTATTAGTTCATGTTATCTATATAGCAAAACATTAAAATTAATCCATTCGAGTGAATCGAAGTGGAGATACTTCATTTTTTTTTAATCACAGTGTTAGTTAAGACTCACTCTGTATATTATTACTTTGCTTAACTTAATCATATTCAAATAGTATTACAATATACTCAACGAAAATGTACGATTGTCTACTATATTCTGAATATTGAATGAGTGAAATTCATGTCTGGACAAATATTTGGTGTGTACTCTGAAATAGACACTGTTTATAATGATGCTAATATATACTGCATAGTAAGTTCAAAACTATTCTGAATCAAATCAATAACACATTGATAAAATGTTATATAAGACATGTTAAAAAGATTTATTTAGTGGATTTGAATCAAACCGTCTTGATGTTGCAGAATCAGAAGAAGAAATTGAAGCAGTTTCATATCATTATAAAAAAAAAACGACAAATTTGATGGTGATCTTAATTTAGAACTTGATAAATCAAAATTAGAATCTAATTCTTTATCATTTTAGATTGTGCATCAAGATTATATTTCATATTTGTTTAGATATGCTTGATCTATTCACTTGATACTTTTTACATTAGCTAATATAGAGAAACAGTTCTGAGAAACAGCCTGTGTTACATAAAATATTTTTATAAAATCATTTTTTTGTATGGTTTGGCCTATTATTTTCTTTTCCTTTGTATCATTTATGTCATCAAATGCATTTTCATTGTTCTATTTACTTTATTAATAGCATCCATTATGTACTAACATAATGACGATAAAACCAGATAAGTTTACATTTTTTATATTTGTTTTTTTTTGTAATGAACAGACCATTAAAGTAATAACTTTATATATTTCTATATTATTATAATAATAGTCATTATTGAAGGCTTTAGTTAGTTTTTTTAAAATAAATTAGCTCTAAGATAATTAATAAGCTAGTATGTACTTTGATGATTGAACTTTGAAATAAGGACTCCTATTCTCCTGAAAGACAGGACAAAGCTACAAACAATGTTCAGTCTTGTACTCACCTCAATTCTTCATTTTAAAAGATAATTTGCTCACAGAAATAATGTAACGATTAGAACATTACACATTTTATTTAATTAGACCGAAAAAACTCGGACCAGCCTGAATATTCAAAATGATACAGTTAAGAAACAATAGCTTAGAAACATTTTTTTCAGTATGAACAATATTAACATGATTTCATTTATACTTTTATTATTATTAATTTCAATATGATGTAATGATTAATTTAACCTATTCATATTTATTACACAAAAATTATTTTTATTTTGATAAAAAGAACATCTATATTACATCAAAATATTTTTTTACGTCATAATCATGCAGTCTAATGTAATTTATAGATATGATATTTACGAATTAACATAAATGAAATGATCATAAAACTGGAATATCCCAATAGAATTTATTTTTAGATTCTTAATTAGTTTAAACATAGTTTTCATGATATTTAGATAATATTAATTCATTTAAACGTCATATCGTATGACTGTGTAATGCGTAGGTTATTATCATAATTAAAAATTTAACCTTGTACATGCTCTTCCTTTTTCAACTGTTCCTCTTTGAATATTTTTAGCCGACCGTGATCGATGAAAAAATATTCGTCACATATTATATTTCATAAAGCAAAAAGACGCAGAATGACTAATATCAGTACAAAAAATGCATGACATTTCTTCATGTTCTCGTCAGTTGCTATTAATTTGATTATTGAGGAAGAAGTATAGGTAAAAATTATGACACAAACATAAATGAATTGAGGCAAAAAAAACTAAAAGGAGAAAGTTAAATGATGCTTAATAATACAAATATCAATAAAAATTTTGCTATTTCTGACTACTATTTAAATATTTGATTTGCAATGGAATATGTACAGTTAAACTACAATAACTAAATAAAAAAAGTTTACATTAATTTCTACATAATGGTAGTTTTAACAAATACAGACAATCAAGATTTTTTTCAACTCGATAATGATCTATCACCACAATCATATCTTGATAAAATAGCTCATCAAAATCAATTAGAATTAAATAAAAAACAATTTGCATTATTTATGGATGACCAAGATCCTGTTGGTTATGCCAGAAAAAAATTTTTTTATCCAAAATTAGGAACACTGCCAAAAAGTTTGTATAAAATAATAAATATTATTTTGATGAAAAAAAAAACGGCATCATTAACTTCTAGTTGATAAAAAACGAATTGAACCATTTCATGAATGTATTTATCTTTGTGGTCAATCGCTTGGATTGATGCCTCAACGAACAGTTGATTATATGAATGCATTTATGAATGATTGGGCTACATTGTAAGTTAAATTAATTGTTTTCATTTGTAAAAAATGAAGATTTCAATTATTTTTTTTTAACAGAGGCGTTTATGGTCATTTTACTGGTTCAAATCCTTGGGCAAAATGTGATATACCATGTTTGCCAACTATGAGTTTATTAGTTGGCGGTCAAATCAAAGAAGTTGCTGTTATGAACCAATTATCATCAAACCTTCATTTTATGATGGTATTTATTGTTTAGTATTAATAATAAGTCAAAACTTGTTTGTTTTTTTTTAAATTTATAGACGGCATTTTATCAACCTCAAGGTGATCGATATAAAATTTTATATGAAGAACATGCATTTCCAAGTGATCAATATGCAATTAATTCACAAATTAAATTACACGGTTATGATCCTAAAGATGCAAAAATTGTAATCAAAGCACGAGAAGTAAGCGTATCTCAATTTATGATTTCTCTAAAGTTTATTGTTTTTAGAATGAAATTTGTCTACGAACTGAAGATATTATTGATATACTTCGACGCGAAGGTCATTCAATTGCTCTTGTCATGATTGGAGGAGTACATTATTATACAGGTCAATTATTTGATATTGAAACTATTACACGTGTTGCTCATGAACAAGTATGATCAACGATATTTTCAAAGAAAATTGTTTTTATATTTATAACTTGGAAATTTCTTAAGGGTTGTTGTGTTGGATGGGATTTAGCACATGCTATTGGTAATGTACCATTGAAATTACATGATTGGCAAGTCGATTTTGCTGTATGGTGTACATATAAGGTAAATAATCGAAATTAAATAGAGTAAATTTTATTTTTGCTTAAATATAGTATTTAAATGGTGGAGCCGGCTGTATTGGTGGAGTATTTGTACATTCAAATCATTTTAATGATAATCATTTGACAAGACTTGATGGTTGGTGGGGTAATCGAGAATCAACACGATTTACTATGTTTGATGGTATGAAAAATTCATTCTCGTTTAATATAAATAATACATAGTTATTTGTAGATATTGATCGAGATAAAAGTGCTCTTGGTTTTCGTGTTAGTAATCCATCAATTCATCAATGTGCAGCTCTTGCTGCTAGTTTAGAAGTATGTTTACAATGTAATGTTGATTAAAAAGAGACAATTTACTTTTTTGTCTTTAAAGATTTTTGATGAAGTAGGCATGGAAAAAATTCGTGCAAAGTCAATTATTCTCACTCAATATCTTCAATATTTACTTCAAACTGAATTAGCAGGTAAAGAAAAACTTTTCTTTATTATTTATTCAAAATAAATTTTGAATTTTTATTATTTTTTTTAAAGATACAGAATTATGTCAATTTACTTTATTAACTCCTCTTAATCCCCAAGAACGTGGTGCTCAATTATCATTTCGACCTATTGGTATTACTGCTCAACAAATTCATGATGAATTAGAAAAAGTTGGTGTTGTTGTACGTATCGAAACAATAGTGATTATCTAATAATCACAAACTATTCATTAATTTTTTTTTTCAGATCGATATTCGCGATGATATTATTCGAATAGCACCAGCGCCATTATATAATAGTTTTTCTGATATATTTCAATTTGTTTCATTACTCAAAGAAGCAATTGTTACACTAACAACGGTATGTAAAGAATAAAATACGAACTAAAAGTTGTTTTTTCTTTCTTTTGTATTTTCTATTCGATTTTTTCAAACGATGTTGTTATTTTTATTTAAAATGTTTATTCATAAACTTCATTTTATTAATAAAAATATTTTTACTATGTATTTTGACCTAGTCTTATGCAAAGAATGACATTTTATTTTATGATTACCATTGCATCCATTAGCTTCTCTTTTTTTCTTAGAACAAGCTTAAGGGGACCCCGTTCCCTTTCCCGACTCGAAATTTTCGGTTTTTTCGTTTTTTATTTTTTGTGTTTGATATGTAGATGTAGATATCCTCTATCTAATGAGTATATTTTAAGAAGGCTAAACCACTTTTTCACATGTTGAAACCTCGAAAAAAACTCAATTTTGTGTTAAAAAAGCCAAAAAGTGCAACTATGTTCGCTTTTTTCTCAAAATAAAATTTTCGAACAAAAAATTGACGTTTTCCCCCTTTTCTCTTAAACGGTGAGGTCGATTGGGCTCAAACTTTTTTTATGGATACTTCGATCAAATCGGGATGTGTCTTTTTTTTTCTTTTGAAAATATTGTACTGATTAAGTTTTCTGGATTTTACAAAATTAGCACCATCCAAAGAAAAGCTTTCGTTAATGATTTTTTGATAATGCCTCTGGTGTTTCGCTTCTCCTGAGCCTCAGAAACAATATTTTTCAAAGAAAAAAAAAGACACTCCCAGATTTATTTCTATTTGCCATAGAAAATATTTCAGCCCTGAAAAACGTAGTGTGGCCGTTTGCAAGGGGATTATTTTCAGGCCATTTTTGGTCTTTGACTTGTCAAAAGCTCCCAAAAGAAAGTATTTGAGAGTTTTGAGTCTATGACAACTTTTTCTCTTCTCGTCGAGATCTATCTACCTTGAAAGTTTCATCATTTTTTGCTCAATCGTTCTCAAGAAACCCCCGAAAGGGGGCTGGGAAGGGTCCCATTTAGAACATTATGTGATGAAATGTTCTTCTCCAAACTAATTAATTCACTTTGGTGAATATATTCACTCAGTGAGTGCGGCATAAGAGCATAAGTATTGAATATTATACATATAAATATTGTTCGTATAATCTGACGAATACTCATATGATTTTCTTTTTCAAGGTGTTCTTCTAAGCGAAAATATGAATACTCAAATGTGCCATTCATGATTGTTTGTTTTCTTTCGAAGAATATTTAACAAATCATATACGAAATAAGTACAAAGATAGAGTGAAGTTATGCTATAAATAAAAAAAAGATCTACTAAAATTCCAAACCAAAAAAAAGTTGTTTTAATTTACTTTATCTTCGGGTTTTTCTAATAAGTGATTTAAACGTTTTTAATAAATACGGACTTTAGAAATATAGAAATGATTTTTTATTCTCAATTATTTTTTTGTCTGTTTCTCAAGTTCGATTGAATATATCTTTAAAATGTATCTAATAAAAAAATTTATTTTAATTTTATTTTCTATATTTGCATAAAAAAAATCTTGTATTAAAATATAATTTTTCAGATTGAATAAAGAAGGCAATGAAACAAAAAACAATAAAAGACTTAAGTTATTAATTATTTTTATTTTTACACTATGAAGGCTATGAGAATTGATGGTTCTTTACTTTTCATTCATTCACTCCACCTACGACTCTAACATAGAACATTTTTTCTCTAGTACTGGAAGAATATTCAAAAATATCTATCAGTATTTGTAATTACCTATCATTGCACATTTATTTTGATCCATTTTCATCTAAACTTCTGCTGATTACCATTTCTTTGTTAAGTACTGTACTTTTTACGTGTCATTTTACCTTCGAAAGTATGTGAACTTCACAAAGTTCATTGCCAACCTGTTGTAATTTCATAATGAACTTTTATTTTGATAAATTTACTTTTTATCAAATAATTTATAAATAGAGAATTTTATTTCATTTGAATGTAACCGAAATTTACAATAACAAAAAAAAAAAATCATTCACATAAGTAACTGAACAAAACTTTTCAATAAAGATTATCAAATAGAAATACATAATAATTAAAAATAATAAATAAAATATTTTGATTTCCTATAAAGGGAGTCGCAAATAGGTCAGAGTAGGAGATCGATCCAAAAATTTGAGAAAGAGTCAAAAAATTTTTGTTGGCAACTATTGATAATCTCTCGCTCTTTTCCAAGATTAAGGGTACGTCCTCCTTTCCAGAATTTCTGGAGAACGGCTCATCAGAAAAATTTGAAACTTTCAGGACAAGTAGATCTTTATGAGTACAGCAAGAATTGTCATAGACTTAAAAATTCCCAATGCTGCCTTCTATGAGGTACTAGGTTTACAATCGCGAAAAAATGTCCCCAATTTTTGCCTCCATTTCTTCAAGATGCTATGTCCAATTGCGCTAAGAATTTTTCTACGGGTACTAGACACAATTTGGAGCGGTTATTTTTTTAGTTTCTTTTTATTTTCTATCTTTGTAACAAAAAAGTCAAAATATCGAAGATATCCTTGAAAACAAGTGTTTTTTTTTTCAAAGAGATTTTTCGTAAGAACTACCAAAAGTCAGCAGAATAGTGTTTTTTGAAGCATAAAAAAACTCATTCCAAACGGTGTCTAGTATATGTAAAAAAAGTTTCAGCTCGATTGGACGTATCATACCGGAGAAACGAGAGCGTTTATGCGCTTTTTCCATGGAAAACGCGAAACAATGCACAGTTTTCGCTATTTTCGTTATGTAAATCTGATATCTTCTCAAATTATTTAAGGTTAGAAGACTATTTGGGGGTTCTAAAATGTACTCCGTAGATAGATACTACTTGAAACTATACAATGGTCACAAAAGCTAAAAAAATGAAAAAAAACAAAAGTTTTAAGTGAAGAATACGAGAGTACTCTTCAGTTAGTCGCTGCCGTTAAAAAACCTAAAGAATCAGAGAAAATTGTCCAATAGCTTTCTCCAAACTTCGATTTACTTCGAATTCAGAGCACGATGTCTAAAATATTTCTGCAAATTTTCAGACCATCATTCAGTAAGTTCCCCAAACTTGGAGAAAATTGATCCACCAAAGTTTTCCAATACGGAGAAGCATCGACCGAAAATTTTTCGACGCCGAGAGTAGTGATCCGTTCAATCTTTCCTTCGATCGTATCACTCCTGTTTCCGTCGTTTTGATTATCTTCATATAACCATTTCAAAAATTCATAATCATACATATCATGTTTCTTTAATATTTGATCACGAACAATTTTTTTCACTCCATTATAATGTGCGAAAGTACCAATATCACGTGCGAATTGAACAACTTTTGATGAACGAGGTATTCGGTTTTGTTCATATTCTCGAAATACACAATCAATTTTTAGTGGTCCATACTTTTTGTAAGCAGTCACAAGTGCATCCGCATCTTCTAATGCTTGTGCAGCACCTTGACCAGCATATTGTAACATGGGATGAGCTGCATCCCCTAATAATACTAATCGGCCACGACTCCATTTCGATAATGGATTACGACTAGAAAGATAATTAGATATGAGACAGAATTAAAAATAAATCCTATATAAACATGACTTACTCATAAACAGGCCATCGAATATTGGTTTGAATTGATTTTAAAGCATTTTTAATATGTTCACATCCAATACTAAATCGTTGATTAAGTTCTTCTTTTGTTCCCCATTGATCTGTATCATCAGGCATTTTGTTTGACTTAAATACAGCTGCTTGATTATATAATTCTCCTCGTCGAATTGGATATTGTACTAAATGCATCGAAGGTCCTATCCAAAATTGAACATTTTCAAGGCCAGCTTCTTCTGAAACTTGTTTAATATCTATTGTTCCTCGGTAAGTAACATAACCAACGCTAAGTGGTGCTCCATCATCACAAACAAATTTTCTTAATGATGACCAAAGACCATCAGCTGCAATAACCATATTACAATCGTAACGCGTTCCATCTGCACATTCAACCATTACTGATTTTGGTCGTTCATCAACACTTGTTACTGCACGATTTGTTTCCATTATTATTAGTGAATTTTCTAAACATGCTTGATAAAGTGCATCAAAAAGATCAGCTCGATGTACAACTATATATGGATAATCAAATGCTTCAATATATTTAGCACCTAAATCAATAGCTGTAAGACGTTGACCAGTTAAAGCATCCATCCATACAATTTGTTTAGGAAAAACAGCATTAGATTGTATTTGTTTTAAAACACCAAGACGATCGAGTAAACGACTACAATTTGGTGCCAATTGCATGCCAGCACCAACTTCACCAAATTCCTCCTTTTTTTCAAATAAATGAACTCGTATACCGGCTCGAGCAAAACTTAATGCTGTTGCCATACCACCAATACCTCCACCCACAATTAATATAGATAATGAACGAGCATCAGCTAACGGATGTGGTATTCGAGTACGATTAAGTACATTTATACCATTAAATATTCTTTCATTACGAAAATGTTTAAAAAAAAGCCGATGATCACGTTCAGCTATTTCAGCATAAATCATAGAAAAAAGACAAATATCATTAATTAATTCTTGTTGTTGAGTCTTTGAAGATAAAGCTGTTTGAATAACATGTGTACAATGTTCAGCATTGTTTTCTATCAAATACTGTGTTGGTGAAATAGAAACTGGTGGTTGGCAATGTGAATTGGCAACAACAATAGCAAATTGTTCAGCGAAAATTATGAAACTGGCTACAGTATCAAGTTTTTTCCAATCAATATCATGCATATTATGTTGAATGGGCGTTGAACCAATGACTGAAATTTGCCTATGTGATAGGCATGATTTTAATTGATTATATTGTTCATTTTTATCCGAATATTTTCTGCATAGATTGATTTTGCCTGTTCTTGTTGTAACATTTTTAATATATTGTCGAATAAAAACATGTAATATTTCAATTATTTCAGTATCGCTAAAACCTTGATAATAAGCAACAAGTACAAGATTTGTTGCTAAACGTTTGAGATCCCATGTAAATGGTGCAATAATTTTTTTGTGATGTATCATTCTAAGTACGCGTTCATTGTTGACATCATCGAAATAGTATTGAAATTGACCAATATGTAAGTCACCATGAATACAAGTCGGTTCCATGACTTGGAATGTTTCATGATCATATTGATTATCTTCATAAAAAAGTGTTGCATTATGTTGATAAAAAATAACAGGATTAATAGCAATACGTCGAAAATAAGCATGCCATGCTTTTGCTTCATATCGTTTTCCAGCCATTTGATATTTAGCAAAAATTTGTATAAGATGCTCCAAACGTTCATTATCATCACATAGAAGAATATCGTTTATGGATTTTGAATTTGACATATTTGAATATTCAAACGAACTATTTATTGAATTCGATTGAGTATCTTTTTTCTTTTTTTGTGATAAAACTCGGTCAAAATTCGTTGCTATTTATACTATAAAATTGGCATAAATGTGATGACGACATATCCTTTGTGACGTATTTTCGTTGGCAAGAATGTCATGCATCATGATTCAGTACTTATGCTGGTTACATGAGTCTTTCTTCGTATTACCTATTTTCTTCCTTATTTATTATAAAGGTGAGTGCGATGTATAGTCACTACATGCGTAGGTGCTTAACTTTATTCAAAATAATTATAAACACGGAAATGACTATAGGTTTGTATAGTAAAAGCGATAAAATCAATCATATTTCGTTAAATATTTATTTTAGTTCTGTTTTTTTTTTGTTTCCTTTTTTAATACTGGTGTACGACTTTTCAAAAAACATATGAGTAAATATATATATGTATATATTTATTTTATTGTTCCATAAATCCCGAATCATAAAGTTTTTCAATTAATGATGCAAGACCTTGATTAACAGCCTCTTGTGCAAATACAGGAATTTCTTCTAATCGTCCATCATGAATTTTTTCAATTACATTTCGAAAATGTGCAATATCATCGGATGACATTTGTAATTTTTTAGCAAAACTATTAATATTTTTTGCCACTAAAAAGAAAATAAAAAGAAGTAGTTTGAAATATTTTTATTTTCATATAGGTAAAAAAAGAATAATAAAAATTTTTACCTGAAAAACCTGATGCTAATGCATCCAACCAAAATGATTTATTTTTTTCAATAGTATTTGAAAATTTTTCACCAAATAAAAATCTAAATAATTGTGGACCATGTAACATATGTTCAGCATGAAAGAAGTTTTCAATATTTTCTTTTGCTGGTCGTTTAACTTGAAAAGAAAAAAAAAAAAAGAAAAATATTATAATTTTTTGTTGTTAATAGTATAGAGAAATATCTATTTACCTGCAATACATGTTTCTTCATTTTCATCGAGATTACCAGGACAATCACCCGCATGACCATCGCAAATAAATTGCAAAGCAATACATTGTTCACTTTGTGGACATTGAAATGGTTCCGATGGATCAATACATCCTAAATAAAAACAACAAGAACATTCAATTGATTATCACATTAATCTTTTCTTTGATTATTATACACAAGATATAATTTTATTGATTATAGATAGACACTTTTTGTATGTATAGAAAAAAGTTAAGATTATCCCATGAGAAAAACAATGATAATAATATGTACCTTTAAATGTATGACTTATTTTTAAAACATCGAATGGTGATGCTGGCGCACGAGTTTCAACCGTACTGCCAGTTGGTCTTTTTTCAAACCATCTTTTTAATAAAGCATTTTGATGGTGATTAGAATCAGTAAACCAATGTTGTCGTACATCCTGTGCAGGTAGCCGAGCAAATTCGGTACTAGAACCTACTTGAATAAGAGTCATTAAGGAGGAAATAATAATAGCAAGTTGTGATGAGATTGTTTTTGTCATTGTTGTTCTGCTATTAGCTAATATTGTGAAAACGTGAAAAAATGCTAGAAATTAATAAAAACAAAAGAAATATGAAAAGTCGTGATTTTTTGCTTAGATTCATTTAGTTTTGTATATGAATAGATAAAGATTTCTATTTGTAATATTCAATGATTTTCATCTATAATATTAAAGAATAAATTTGTATTTTCGGAAAAAAAATCTCTTAATTTGACATGATGTCTGGTTTTACCATCAAAGACAAACAAAATTGATGAAAAATTGGAAAAATTCTTAATAAATAAATATCAAGCATTTGCTATTCCTATAAAATATTTATCAAAATAATAATCACAAAAAATAAATACGAAGAAAAACTCATCGATTTGAATCTTGATATTGTTTTATATTGACTAAGTACACGGTAAGAGATATCTAAACAACACTTATTTATAAATATAAATGTGCAAAAATAATAGTTTATTTCAAGATTCTTTTGTTTTTATATAAGAGCAGTAAATCTAATTTTAAATATAAAACAAAAATAGAATCATTGAAGTATAAATTCATATGATGACGTGCCATATATATATGTATATATATATATATATATTACATATTCTGTATGAATTTGTATCATAAACTTACGTTTTTTAAGACCGTTGCTTATTTATAGATTAAAAAAAATACTAAAAGAAAAATAAAGGCAACTTGCTCTTTTTTATTAGTTTTCATTTATCAATTACAGTAATGGCTAATCAGCTTTTTCTCCTCCTGTTTTCTTTGATGCGTGAATTTTTTTTTTTTTATTTAGATTGGAGACATGAAAAAAAAAGTTATGCATGATAGAAAATTAATCTAAAAATGAGTTACTTTTTCTCTACTTATATGTTCATTGAAGTTGATGTAATCTATTCACATAAACGAGTAAATATGTCATTATTACTTAGAAAATATTTTCGTATTTTCTCTAGTTCATTCTATGATTAGTATTTGTCTTAATAAATGAATTGTAATAAACTATAAAAATAAGAATATTCATGTAATCAATGTTTGTGTCACAATTATAATGCTATAATTTTACTAAGAGAGAAGAAAAAAGCTGATAGAAATAGAAAACTTAAATGATGAGTTTCTCTCAATCAACTAATATTTCTAAGTAGTCATATAGATTAAAAAATCTGTTTTTTTGCAAAATATACGACATGGAACAAGAGAAATACTTCAATAAGATAGAAGTACTTTTTTAAGATGATTATTCATCCTTAGTTCTATGACAATATTTAAAACATGAATTTTACCTTGACAAATTGCTATAGGCTAAAAAAAACAAATCAATTATAACACTTTTTACATTAGAAATGTAGAATCTTAAGATGATCTTTGTTTTTTTTTCAAAAGATAGATGTCAAGATGATATACTTTAATTGATAAGTTTCTAATAATATGACATAAGTTGGTCAGAAATAAATATTATATGTTCTGTAGAAAAAAATGTTGACATACTAATAAGAAACTTAAGTTTCAGTTATATAATTGCAAATAAAAACCATTTGTAATAAAACAATATAATAGAACATGACTGATTTCTTTCAGATAAATACTAAATCAGTAATACATATCTTTTCTAGATCTATCTTAAATAAATCTAATCATTACCCTCGAACGATAAAAAACAGGCATTCATTTCCTAACTGGCATCTTAGTCAAGCTTTACGACCTTTTCACTAAAATATTAGTTCATAAAAAATTTAATGATAATATTAACAACAGTGATTATCTCTAAGAGGTAGCAAAAACAAAAATTTACACTCACTTAAAGGTATGTTGTCATTGTTTGACTATACTTGATTCTCCTATTAAGAATAACCCGACTATCGTCAGTCAATTCAATTATACTAAAACACTTTATCAATTTAACTAGAGTATAGATTTATATAATTGTTTTCATGATAGTATGCGAACTAAGTTAATAACAAAGATTGTTCGAGACTTACCTATTCTTTATATAGTTCATCTCTTGTAAAATAGTAGAAAAATAGATTTAGATAAATTCTTTTTTGTTGGTTATATATAATTCTCATTTTTTTTGTTATGTTTATCGTAAGGGATAGGAAAGAAATTTGTCTTTCTTTTCTTTTTTTTGGGGGGGAATTTGCGATTTTCAATATCAGAGGATAAGCTATTCCACTAACGACAGAAGTCTCATAACTGATTAGTCGTTGGGTACTCGAAATAATGTGCGGCATATAAACCTTAAGGAATTATGAATACCTTGAAAAGATTTTATGTTGTTGACTTGTTTTTTGCCGAGAAACTGCATTTTTGTGGTCTTTTTTTCAATCAAAGCTGCGGTGCTGCTCATCAGAAATATCAGAAAAATAAAGAATAGCTTTTTGCAAGACTTTCAAATGTTTGTTTTACTCCTATCCGAAAATAAGCATATCGAATCTATCACAGTTTATAAGAACGATGTAAAAGACTTGCTTTTACCATAACTGTATGTAAGAGAGAAAAGACGAAAAGATCTGAAATTTTTACAATAAACTATTCTGTTTAATGTTTATCGCTGTACAAAATTTAAGCACCACCACAACTTTCATTTAAAACATACCATAAAAATGCAGTACTCAACAAAAATAAACTAATGGTGTAAATTCTTTTCAAAATATTCATAACTCATCATGGTCTACATGATGCTTGCTATCTTGATTCGAAAGCTATTGATCATTTAGGAGACTTTTCTCATAATTAGAGTTACTATATTTAAAATACGAAATTCATGATATTTTTAATCTTTGCTCATCTCAACATATACTGATAAAAAAGGACTTATTTAATATTATTATGAGAAGTTTATCTATCAATAAAAATAAGATATTAAATCACAATATAATTACATCAAACAAACTATTTTAACATAATTTTATATTATATATATGTCAATGTAACAAAATTATTTTACTTCAGTAAACATTTGTGCAGGATATAGGTGTACATCCCCTTCTCTTTATTCTAAATCTTTCTTGAGTGTTCAATGTTTTATTAATAATAAAAAGAGTCACGAGAACAACTGATTTTATTAATATTTGACCTTCTAATGTCGAAGTTCTTGAATGAACTAGTACTTTTTTCCATTTATCATATCATGGTGACTTATAGTGTGTTGGATTGCCCTATATCAAAATCTTTCTAAAATCATTTGTTTTTGGTTTTAACTCTCAAACAAGCATTTAAAGTATCGTGTCAAATAATTCTTACTTTCTTGTAATCATCCAAATTGCCTTTAGTCTATTTTAATAATTGTTAATACTATTCAGCTAATGAACTTTTTCAAATGAAAATCTTGAGATTATTTATCATGACAACAATGAGATTATTTTAATAGTCTTTTTTTTTGTTCTGATTTTAATAACAAAGAAAACATCAACAAAAGTCAAACAAAGTAACAATCACACTGACACAACAAAGGGTTTGTATTTTTTTGTCTTTTGTGTTCAAACATTCTCTCTCGCACAGCAATACATATCGATATTAAAAGAAAAATGGGTCTACGAAGTGATATTAGAAAAAAACCAAAGCAAACAATAATGTTCGAAATTGTTCTAAAAAAATTTCTTTTTTCTTCTTCTATATTTTGAATCATTTAATGATGACGCATATCACGTTGACGAGGTCGTGGTGGTGCCTTAATAATATTATCAATACGTAGTACCATTTCAGCAGCTTCAGCAGCACTGATTACAACTTGACGTTTAAGATGAAATGATTCAAGAATACCAAGTTGAGCTATATCAGCGACTGTACCTTTTTCCATATCTAAAGAAAAACAAAAAAAAACAATACTTCAATAAGAAGAAAAAAAGAAAACTATACCAAGACCAAATGTTGATTTTCCTGAAGCATGAGCAGCACGAAGATTTGCTACTAATTCTGCACTATCATAACCAGCATTGTCAGCAATGATTGTTGGTAACTAAAGATGAAATTTATCAAAAATTAGGGGTAATTCTTTGTAAGAAAATCAGTCCAATTGAATTTTAATAATTTGTTCGTGTAGAAATCAAGACAAGGACCATAAGTTACTAAATCTTATAGATGTTCCTTGACGTATGCAATTGTTACTTGATGTAAACTAAATGAATCATAAATCGACTGATAGGCCATGAAAAGCACTTCAAAAATCTTTATAACTGTCATTTATTGAAAATATAAAGAAAGAAGTTCTTGTTACATGCCATTATAGTATAATGCCAACATCGAGTATAAATGATCCTATGCACTGAATCACAGTTTACTCACTCTGAATTTTATTCTAATTAATAGAACTTTTCTCGGCCTTCAAATCTATGTATATAATTTGTCAGAAAAGAAAGACTGCGAACATGTTTTGAGTCAAGGCAGTTTTGTTCGAACATGCAATAACGATATTTTTTCACTGATAATCAGCGATTTCGGTCGTAAAAACTATTTTCTCAATTAAAACAGGTCCCATATTCGGAATCAGATTACAAAATGGCATCGATTTATGTATGTTTCAAACGTTTTTTTTTTTTAAATTTATTTCGAGTAGAAATGGGAGTCCCGGACTTCATAAGATCTACCTCAAAAATAAGTTGAAAAATAAAAATCTTCAAAAATGTTTGAAATATGCATAAATCGACGCCATTTTGTATACTGATTTCGAATATGTCATGTGTTTTAATAGACGAGATGTTTATTACGACCAAAATCGTTTAACATCGACCGAAAAATACCGTTTTTGTCTATTCGAACAAAATTTTCTTGACTCTAAGAATGTTCGAATTTTTTTTTGCTAACAAATTATACATAAATTTATAGCTCTTGAGAAGCTTTATCAATTGGTATAAGATTCAGAGTGGATTAACTTTAACTCAGCGCATAAAATAGTTTATACTCGATGCCAACACTGCTTTAATGATATTCGCCAAAAACTTGTATTTTTTACATTTTTAATAAATGATCACTATATAGATTTTTGAAGTATTCTTCACGGCCTACCTATCGATATGTAATGCATGTAGTTTACATTAACTAACAAGTACGTACATCAAGAAATCTGGGCAAGATTTTGTAATCAAGGATCCCCTGTGTAGACTAAAATTATTTTAACAATATAAGCTATAGTTTTTATCATTAGCTTCTTTACTTCTACACGAACAAATCATTAAATTCAATTGGTTCGATTTTCTTCGAAAGCGGCAACTCCTGTTTAAATAAAATATTGCTTCAATTACTTGACGAAGTGCATGAGCAAATGATTCAATAGCGACTGATTCTTTGCCAGGTGTTTTTTCAGCTAATTGAGAAACAGCCGTTGCCATTAACATTTCCGAAGCACCTATTTACAAATCGAACTTATTATTTTTTTTAAACAAAGCAACCAAACAAACCTCCTCCATAACAAATTCGTGGTTCTTTAACTGTTTGTGATAAAACACAAAGAGCATCATGAATTGATCGTTCAGCTTCATCAAGAATTTGTTGTGTAGCTCCACGCAATACAATTGTACAAGCTTCACCTTGTGCTACACCTATATATAAAAGAAAAATTTAATACTTTTTCTTTACTAGACTAAAAAATAAAACCTGAAAATTTAATGAGTTTATCTTCACCAATCATCACTTCTTCGATAAGATTGCATTTTCCTAAACGTACTTTATCTGGTGTATCAAATGTTGAAACAATATCTCCACCTAAATAAACGAATTTTTAATAAAAATAAAAAGTAAATAAATAAATATTTTTCTTTCTTATTTACCAAGAACTTGTGCTAAACGTTCAACACCTTCAAAATCTGCATGTTCAATAGCCATAACACCTTTGTCAGCAAATAATTGTTCAGGATAATCATAGATTAATTGTCTAGAAATAAAACAATATTTCATATAAATAAAAACTATTCTTATATCTTCTTACCGATTAATAAAAACATTACAACCATGTTGAAGTATTTTATCAACTTTATCTTTCATTTTTTCTTTTTCAGCTAATTCCAATTCAGCTACTTTAGCAACTGAATCAACACGTACACGAGAACCAAATATTTTTATTTTATCTGTATCCATTGGTGTATTAGCAATAAGTATACGTGCATTTTCTATACGTTTTGGCATATGAATACCAATACGTTTTTCCAATAGAAAACCTTAAAAAATAAAATATTATATTATTATTTTTATTTATGAAATTTACCTTCTTCAAGATATGAATCACTCATATTATTTCCTAAACGTTTAATTATTTGAATACCTTGTAAATCAGTTTTACCCTATGAATTAAAAGTTATTGTTTTTATTTTTTTTTTTTTTTTTCGAAAAAAAAAACAAACAAACTTACATGTAATTTTAATACAGCATCAACACATAATTTTGCAAAATGATCTTTTTTTCCTTGAAGAATTTTTGAACTAAGTGTTGTACGTGCAATATTCATAAGATCACTTTTAAATAATTCCAAATTTGAACTTAATTAAAATAAAATAAAATTCAAAAGAATTTGTTTGTTTTTGTTTTCATACCTATTATTTTTAGCAATGCCTTCTAAAACTCGAATGGCTTCATTTGTAGCTTTACGCCAACCAGCGATAATTGTTTGAGGATGAATTTTTTGTGCAATTAAATTTTCTGTTGCCTATAATAATAATAAAATTTTATAACAAAAAAACAAAAAATAAATTCTAATAAACATACGCGAAGAAGTTCACTTGCTAAAACAACAACAGATGTTGTACCATCACCAACTTCATCATCTTGTACTTTTGAAATATCTATTTATTTAAAGATATAAATTTAATTGAAAAATAAAAATTAATAATAACATACCAACAAGAACCTTAGCTACAGGATTATCAATACCAATTTTTGCTAATATTGTTGCTCCATCATTTGTTACTAATAATTTACCCGCATCAGGTCCACCACTCATTCTACATTGAAGAATTTTATCCTAAAATAATTATTTATTAGAAATTAAATATAATTATAGAAAAACAAACAAATAAACAAATATCCATACCATGCCTTTTGGACCAAGGGTAGTCTTAATAAGATCACCAACAGCCATAGCTCCAGCAAAAGAAGACTAAAAATTATTTATTATAAAAAAATTTATTTATTTTATTTTTTTTTACGTACTAGTCGAGCAAGTTCAGATTTTTCTTCTTCAACACCTTGTTTATAAAGTGGAATTGGATTGAGTGCTGTCTAAATATTTTTAAAGAATAATTAATTAAGAATAAAATTAATCAAACTTTTGTACATTTAAATCTCCACGCATTTTGTTATTTGTTGATGTTTTCTTTTCGTATAGATCTAAAAATAAGGAAAAAAGAATACTAGTGATATAATATCAGTTCCTATGGAATCCAAATTTGACCGAAATGGATGAATATGTTTGTCTCTATATATGTAAATATAAAGCACAAAATAAGTAGTGTGACATCTATCTGCAAACAAACATGTCGATTGCTTAGGAACGGTTGATCATAATTCATGTTCGATGAGTTCTTTTCTTTTTTTAGGCGAAATATAGATTAAGTATTTAATGGCTGAAGGAAATCTTAATTATCAAATAATTAAAACAACACATGCAGCACGGGAAGCTGTAAGATTAATAAATACAAAAAAAAAATTGTTTTAATTATTAAATATTATTTAGGATGATCAAAGAAATGAAAATCGGAAGAGAAGTTTAATTATCCTTATTGTTCAATGGCTTGCCGATGAAGGGTAAATTTTATTTTGTTTTTATATTTTAAAATTAATTTTTATTAATTTAAGTTATATTGAATCGGCAAGACAATTAGAACGTGAAACAAATCTTGATGTTAATAAATATGATGTTTGTGATAATGTTGATCTTTATACAATTATTCAAGAATATGAGTTAGTTATTAAAAAACAAAGCATTGTTTGTTTTGTTTTTTGTAAAACTTTTTTTTCATTATTAGATCGTATTTTTATGTTAAATTTAATCGATATCCAAAATTAACGAAGAAACAAGGACCATCGAGTAAGTTGATATCGACTTTTAAATCGTGAATCTATAAAGAAATTTAATTTTGTGAGAAAATATTTCACATGTTCGATAATACTGTTTTTTTTATGAATTATATTAAGATAATGAAATTTTAGTATAATGGCTGCGCTAGAAATGAATGCCCATCTAGAATTATTTTCTTAATATTGTCGTCAAAGTTCGTTCCTTTACTTTAATTTTTTTTCTTCAAAAGAAGATTCACAATTCAATTTTCTGACTAGTGATTTGAAAGTTTTTAAACAAATTGTTAGTTCACTTTTGAAAGTATTTTCGATCAGTCAAAAATCTATGAGATAGGGGACGAGAATTTTATACTCTATTTGAATATGTGCTTAGAAATTTTGTTTCATGATGGAACTATCCGAGCTGATACCCGTCATTTGAGTTCATATAATGTTCCCAAAGATGTCTAGGCAAAACTAGAAAAACCTTAAAAGGATTTTTTTGCTTCTGAGTCTCTGGAACCGAGTTATAACCATTTAATTGAATTTTTCACCCAGCTTTAGATACGCACTGAAAAATCAAATAACGGAATTTCGACCTAAAATTTTGTTCATAGATAGGTGTCAGAACTTTGGGAATATCTTAAAATTTTCAGCCGGGAAGAATGTTCTTTTGTCAAGATATTGAATTTTTAAATACACTCGATTGTTTTGACAAACGACCATTCTTCAATAATGCAATATTCCAATAGAGAGACATTCTTCTCCACTGAAAGTTTGAAGATATCCTTCAAGTGATGAGACTTATCTATGAACAAAATTTCGAGTCGAAATTCCACTATTTGATTTTTTTTGTTTAGTGAAAGTCTACAGTTGCATTGTAACACCTCCATGTGAACCCAATATGAGCTTAAACGGCATTTATTGTTCGAGAAAGATCTTTCAAAAAGTTTCTCACTACTCTCGAACAAGATTTCTAAACCGATGTTTGAAAAGAACACAAAACTCNCCTTCAAGTGATGAGACTTATCTATAAACAAAATTTCGAGTCGAAATTCCACTATTTGATTTTTTTTGTTTAGTGAAAGTCTACAGTTGCATTGTAACACCTCCATGTGAACCCAATATGAGCTTAAACGGCATTTATTGTTCGAGAAAGATCTTTCAAAAAGTTTCTCACTACTCTCGAACAAGATTTCTAAACCGATGTTTGAAAAGAACACAAAACTCGGATCCTAACTCATGATTTTTGATAATTTCTAGCGGATCAAAAGTGAAGAAACATTTGCCTAAAAACTTTTTCAATCACCTGTTTCAATAACGTATCATGGGTATATCTATAAAATGTTAAGCAGAAATATTAGATAAATAATATAACGAAGATCAAGCATGTCCAATTTTCACAAGCTGATTGTTTTTTCAGAACAATTCAGTTTTTCTAGCTTTATACGAATATAACAAAATGACACCCTACGTTTAGGAGTAGAACTAAGTACGTTCATTTTCATGGTGTACACTGAAGTTCGTTTAATTTTTTTTCCACACAAACATTACGCTATTAAAACTGAATCAAAGACATGTAGAATCTTACTTATTTTGCAAAATTCACTTGAACAAATACTTCCATTTTAATTCTGGCATCACAGTCGGTTACACTATTCATTTCTCTTGCAATTGAAATGAAGTCATAATATAATCATTTGTTTGTCGATTAATATCAGTCTTTTTGAAATCCCAAAAATCACTGAAGCAAAAACATTATTTTTGTAAGGTTTTGAAAAAAATAAAATTCATTTTCATAGCACGTGTCATTACAAAAATTTAACTACTGAGATTATAATATAAAGCTTTTCAAGCTCTACAAGATTGCTATCTATTTCCTATTCGGTTAGTTTAAACATTCCAACAAACAGACTTAAGCAAATGATTTTTTATTGAATTTGCGAAACTTGGCCATATAGGAGTATCGCAATATTATTTATCTAAGTTTTTGTAGAAAAACTTTGTAATACGTTCTTGCAGAAAGTTGAATCGTGAGTTTTAAAAAAAAAAGACAAAGATTAAGACATGCCGGCATTAAGAAAATACTTAGATGAATATTTATTCTGGTGCACCCATTGCGTTTCATTATTTTTCTTTCATAAATCCGCAAGTAAAAGACTCACGCTTTCCAAAATATTTCTTGAATATGTACTGATTCTTTTTCATAATTTTTCTATTTAATACAAAGTAGTAGGTGATTGAAAAGTTAATTGAGAAAATGTCCATTCCTTGCTCAATCTCTTACAGGAAACTATAAAAATTTGAAAATATTGGTTTGGAATCAAAATTTCGTATAATGTGAGTTGAAAATTGACGTTTTTTGTATTAGTCTTCTTCACTGCTTATGTTCAACTTTTTTTTGCATTAAAATTGAAAGCGAGATTGCTCTCTAAAAAGTGATATAATAATCAAGAGTTTCAAAACAATAATTCAGCAATGGCCGAGCTCACTTGACAAGTCTACTTCTCAGAGAAACCGAGAAAATTGATTAAATTGACGAGACGTATATTACTAAAATACTTACTGTTGACAATTGACTAACAAAAAACAAATCATTAGTATATTATTTTATAGAGAAATGTTTGTTCTTTCATTCACTGTATTTTAAATAATGTTTCCTTCTACTTTGAGTAGTTTTTAGTGGATGGAAATTTGTCCAAATTTAATTTATGCGCCTCTTAACAATCAACTTCTAACTTCTAAAGCAAAAATTCTAGAGAAATTTTCAAATCTATATTCGGAAATATTACGAAATTTAGATTCTAATTTGTGTCTGCTTCATTAATTGACTGAAAAATGAATGAATATTTTGTCAAATTAATTTTCGATCTGCTGTTAAGATAAAAAGCAGGTGTTTTATATGATGAACAATGAAAATATTCGAAATATTATTTTTCGGGTTATCGAAAATACTTAATAACAAAGCTATCGATAATTTCCCGCAATAAAAGCATATAAGATCTTTTTACCGACATCATGAATAGCCATGAGCGAAGAAAAAAACTCATTTATTTTCATCTCATCAAGGTTTATATTTGATAAAAAAAACCAAGATATTAAATTTTGTTATTCTACAAACTTGTCTTTGCATTGAAATACTATTGTTCTCAAACAAAAGAAATTGATGATTTCTTTTTTGTAGAAGAATGAAATCGATACTTTCATATCTTTCGAACGAATATTCATCAAACCTATGGTCTTTACCAATATAGAGAAATGCAAAGCTCAATAAGACTTGTAGTAGAGACAATCTATCATTCTCCAAAAGAAAAACGAAAAGATTTTTCGAAAAGCTCTTGTATCAATGAAAAATATTGTTTTATTCGCTATCAAAAATATAACTATTAATTCTATAATGAATTTTCTTTTTAATATTTAGCCGCAGCATTTATGAATAAAATATCTGCAAAAATACCCAGGTGAGACATTTCTCGTTTTTGTTGTATAATTTCTTTTTGTCAAAATGCAATTTTCATTAGTGCTCAACCATCTAATCGTCGCCCACAAATACCACCAATATCCCGTGTTATTAGTAATGGCACAGAATCTTCTACTAGTCCTTCTAATCGTTTACCATCGGCTGGTGAAGCTCTTCGACGGAATGCAAGTACTGGTAAATTTAATCAGCCGAATGCCGATAAATTCAGTGCACAGTCAACACCACCATCAGGCTTACCACGACAAATTTCTACAGTAAATAGATATATTTGAAAGCAAAAATAACAAAACGACAATATATGTGTTTTTGTTTTCTTTTCTAGCAACAATCAGTGAACAACAGTAATAATCATGCAACGAATTCACTTGAAGAAATGAGTCTTTCATTTATGAAAGTTTCATCAGTTAAATCATCAACATTACCAACAAATGAACAACAACAACAACAACCGAATGCAAATAAAAAAAAAGTAATCAGACAGATTTAAACTTGTTTAGGGCTGTTAAGAATACATTGTAAGGTTTTCATGATAGTTTATTTTGAACTTATTCTGAAAAGAGGGATTACTATGGGAGGAACATCAAAACTTCTGGTGATTCTTTCCTGTCTTAAAAATTTTAACGAAAAAATACTGCCCACCTACTTCCGTCGTACTGATTAATAATAGCTTCTTCTTTTTGACAAGGACATTTTTGTTTCTCAACAAAATAGAGAAAAAAACACAAAGTTCATGAATGCCTTTCATGAAAACACAAAGAAGAACATCAAAGATTTGAAATATTTATTTAGCAAAGGCTGATTTTTCTTTAATTCAATCTTTCGATTCATAAATAAGAAAAAGAGAGAGCTATTGAAACATAATAAACTTTCTACAATTGAAAAGCTAAATTCATTCTTTTTTTTTTGCATCTTGCCCAAAAACAAAAATTTCAACTGATAAAATGCAATTATTTTAATTTCTAGAATACAATAGTCGATCCACGTGCTGTTTCCAATGATACAATGCGTGTAAATGCTGCAGATAATATTGATCCAACTGTATAAATATATTTTAAATTATCCTAAAATAAAACAAAATACACAATCATTTGTTTTTATTTGTCCAGGATCGTCTATTGAAACCATTAGGTGGTTATGTTGGTTACAGTTCTGAGTGGCGTGAACTAGCTGAAGTAATTAGTCGAGTAAGTAAAACAAAATAAACAACTAATAAATTACTTTTTCCTTTTTTTTATAAAAAAAAAAAACTTTCTGTTTCATCTTTGTCTCATATTTCATCACATTTCTCTCGTACTCATCATTTTCTGTCCAATCTAGTATAGTTACAAGCACGAAACAAAAAATAATAATAATAACAAAACAAAATGAAAAAAAAAAAGAAAGAAACGGCGAAGTTTTTTACGCACATATCGCGTGTCCAAAATAAGAAACACAGAAAAAAGAGAGACATACACCACTGCGTAAGAAAAAAAAACCACAAGAGAGAAAAGAGATTGTGCATCGAGCAAAAAATATATATATGTATATACCGTTTTTTGTCTTCTTTTGTTTCGTTCTCATCATCATTCTTCAAACTCTTGGAGACAACACACAAAGAAAAAAAACAAAAAAAAAAAATAATAATCATGAAATTTGCTGGTTTGTTTTATACAAAGTTTTGTCCTTTTTTTTTTTCTTTTTTACATTTCGGTTTTAATCCGATCTGATGTCGAGATTGTTGATGGTAGAATATTAACATTTGGTGTAACAAAATCACCTTCATTAGCACTACCCGATGGAGAATGTGATGAAGGTGGTACAACTGCAGCTGTTGGTTGAAGTAATTGGGAATGATGATGTTGTTGTGGTTGTTGTTGTTGTTGTTGTAATGACATATCTGTTGTTGAAGATGATAGTGTAACTGTTGCTGGTCTTAAAACTGGTAACATTTTAAATAATGCTTCATATGGTGATCGTTTTAATTCATTATTAATATTGGAATTTAATGTTAATTGAACAAATTTTAATCCATATGACCAACGTGGATTATTATTAACAAACATCCATGCTGCTATCATTGAACGAATTTGTTCATTACGTAATTTAGCTGCTTCACGCCATTGAGAAGAATCATCTTGATAAAGACGAATACCTTTAAAGAACAAAAACAAAACAAATGATTTGTCTAGATGCTTCTGTTTTTGTTTTTTTCTTTCAAAAAAAAGAAATTAATTACCTGGCCATACAGCTTCAAGTGTTTGTTGTATTGCGGAATTTTCAATATGTAGATCTGCATTGGATTGTAAAACAAGTGGTGGACCAAATATACAAAAAATATCCATCAATGTTGTACCTAATTCAATAGGTGATTTACTTTTTAATGGACGTAATTGAGTAAATTTTGTTAAATAATCTTGATAAACAAGAACAAAACCATAATCACCATCATGAGCATTTTGTAAATCAATTAAATCATATTCACATAAACGATTCATGACATGAGTATTTGCTAAAAATAATTATAGAAATTAATTTTAATAAATTTTTAGTTAAGAATTTAATATGTTTATAAAAAAGAAGTAAAAATTTGGTCATACTAAAAAGAGAATTTATGTCTGTAGAGCATAGAGAGATAAGGGAAACATTGAAGTTTATAATTATTGCACTACATACTGTATTTTTCAGTTTTCACAGAAAAAAAAAAGTTAGATCCCCGGAAGAGAAAATCTAGATTCAATATCATTTTATTTTTATATTTTGACTTACTTCCATCAAAAATATTCTCAACTGGTTGTTGTTGATGAAGACTAGTATTTGTATTATTATGTAAAACAATAGATGTTGATTGTGTAACAATATGTTGTTGTTGTTGTTCATGTTTAATAATATTTGTTTGTTGTAATGTTGGAATATCATGTATAATATTTGTTAAATTTGTATCCATTAAATCATTTGTATCATTATGATTAATATTATCATTATTATTATCTGTATTAATACGTTTACGTCTTTTACAGCAATAGTCACACATTTTTAAATATGTTTGTATAACTTCACGTGGAATATTTGCATATTGTTTTGATAATATTGGCCATAAACGATCTCTACCACCATGATTCATTTTTTTATGTGTATAATCAATAATATCATACATTTCTTCAATTGATACAAAAAATCTTATATCTTTCTCATCATTATCTGTACGTGCAGCAACAAGACGCTGTTTTCCTTGTACATCAACAATATCGAAACGTTTTATACGACGATAATCTTTTGCTGTACGATCACCTGGTTCTTTTTCTTTAGCTTGAATTGATTCGCTTAAAATTTGTTCGAGACGATCTTGTGAATAGACACTACGACGTGTTGCTATTGTTTTAACAAATATATCACGTTTGCTTGTCATTATATAAACTAGAATATAGAAAGAGGAAATATTTGAAGTCAATTTTCGTTTTTTCTATTTTTTTTTTTTTTCTTTTATATTGTTTATTTTTATTTTTCCTTTATTATTATATTTATTATAATTAGTATTTTTTATACAATTCTTTATAAACTAACAAATTGATCGAACACATGTCTCGACATCAATGAAGGAAAATCTCGATAACCAATACATGCTGCTTGCTTACTTCTTTTCTTTCTGTTTTTTTTTCTGATGATTTTGCGGCTGTTGTTATTGTTGTCGTACAATATACAAGAACGTAAACTAGAGGGCAAACATGCCGCGTCGAGTTTGGTTAGGATATGAGCGCTTTCGACGGACGAGAAAAGAAAAAGAGAACAGAATGACTATATGTTACCCCTAATCGGACGTCTATTTTTTCTCTCGTTTTTTTCTCTCTTTTTCTCTTTCTCTGAGTTCTTTTTTTCTTTTTTCTTTTATTTATTTATAGCCGTTTGCATCCAACAAACGAGCGTATTTGTCAGTTCTTTTTCTGTTTCTCTCTCTTTCTCTCTCTCTCTCTCTCCCCCTCTCTCTTTTTCTCTATTTCTCTTCATTTTCCGCGTTCGGATGAATGACGCATGAAAAAAGAAAGAAAAACGAGATGTGTTTTATTGTTTGCCAGTTGTTCACACCTTAAAGGCAAAAGGTTTTTCTTCTTCTTGATATGAACGCAACCAAGGATGACGCTAATATTTGATTTCTTATTTGCGAAGATAAAAAAGAATAAAAATAGAAGAATTATTATATTTAATTAGAATAGTTTCTGTTGAGGTTTTGAACATGTTTCTTTTTTTTTGATTATTCACAATTGAAGAGGATGTAATTAGACAAACAAAAAAGAATGAAGAATATACTAGGATTAAGGTCAAAACAGAATTTTCTCAAGGGGAATGCCGCAGAATCGACACAATGATCTGCTTGGAATCTATAAGCAGATCGACGAATGAAAACGAGTCATATATTAATTACAAAAAAGATATTAATATTAAAAGAAAAACCTTTAATAATTTAACATATCAAAACGAAATAATACAAAAAATTTTCTATATTATTACTCAATTTATATAAATAGAAATGCAAAAAAATCTTGATAGAAACATACTAGCCAAAGTCAAAAGCTTATTTTTTTCTTTCAAGGATATCTATCTTCATGATCCAAGTGTATATTGGGATTCTATAATTGGACTTGATGCAGCTAAACGTACAATAAAAGAGGCAGTTGTTTATCCAATACGAGTATGAATAAATAGTAAAGTAAGAAAGAAAAAACAAATTAATTTATGTTCGTATTTTATTAGTATCCACAATTATTTACTGGTATATTATCACCATGGAAAGCTTTACTATTATATGGTCCACCTGGTACAGGAAAAACTTTACTAGCTAAAGCTGTAGCAACTGAATGTAAAACAACATTTTTTAATATATCAGCTTCAACTATAGTTAGTAAATGGCGTGGTGACTCAGAAAAACTTGTACGTGTTTTATTTGAATTAGCACGATTTCATGCACCATCGACAATTTTTTTGGATGAACTTGATTCGATAATGAGTCAACGTGGTAGTGGTGGTAATGCAGGATCGTATGTAAAGCATGAATATATCGTTTTTTATTTATTTCTATTTCAAATGTTTTTAATTAATTTATTATTTTGATAGTGAGCATGAAGGTAGTCGACGAATGAAAACAGAACTACTTGTTCAACTTGATGGATTAGCTAAAACTGATGATCTCGTTTTTCTTCTTGCTGCATCAAATTTACCTTGGTAAGAAGGTTTTTTTTTTTCTAAATAATTTAGTTTTGTTTTCTTTTTTATTTTTAATGAAGAATTTTTCTTTTAGGGAACTTGATCATGCAATGTTAAGACGTTTAGAAAAACGTGTCCTAGTTGATTTACCAACAAAAGAAGCTCGAAAAGCTATGTTTCAACAATTTTTACCACCAACTGTTATTCATGAAAAAAATGGTCTTATTTTATACTCTGATCTAGATTATGAACGATTAAGCACTGTGCGTTTTTTTTTTGGAAAATTAATTCATATTTAAGATATTTTATTGTTTCTTTCTTTTTTTTTTTTTATATTCTAGAGCACAGAAGGTTATTCAGGTGCGGATATTAAACTTGTATGTAAAGAAGCAGCTATGAATCCATTGAGAAAAATATTTCATATACTTGAAACTCTTCATGATGGTATGAAAAAGTTCTTTTGAATTTTCAATGTAAAAAGAAAAGAAATGTTTTTTTTTTTTTTGAATTCATTTTAGATATTGAATTAGGTAAATGTATTCAACTTGATTCAATAACAACAACTGACGTTGAAAAAGTTTTATCAACAACAAAACCATCAGCACGAGCATTTAAAGATAAATATACAGCTTGGCAAAAAGAATTTGAATCTGTTTAAAGAATTTTCTATATATGTATATGATTGGTTTGTTTTTTTCGCTTGTGAAAAGTACAACATATCGTTGATAATAGGACATATTTTTTACGGAATGTATATATATTTTTTTCTCTTAAATAAATAAAATTGATTATATCATTGATTATATTTAATTAATAGAATGATGAGTATGGATTTGTTATTTGATCTTCAATGTCTTAGAGAGAGCAGTATGGGCACCGATCATACATATATTCTTCCTGCTACTATGTCAGCCGGAGAATATTGATTGTTCTTGTATATAAAAAGAAAAAGCGACATGTTGTTTATAATGATTAAGATAAGTCTGTCTATTTATAAGTGGAAAAAGGTTTTGCTTTGTAATATAAT